AATCGAGAATATGAACACCAGTCACCCGCAGAGAGTTACAATTCGGAACATTTCGAATCAGTGGCAGGCGACCACGCGTCTCGAGATTCCGCGTCCGAGTCACCTCTTCGTTTTGTTAAACCGCCCGTTCGAGATGCCCCTACACCCAAATCCACAATTTATGTTGGGAACCTCTTCTTCGACGTAACTGCTGAGGATTTGAAAACCGAATTTTCCAAATTTGGTACAGTCGAGGCTGCGCGTGTGATCTATGACCCGCGAGGTGTCAGCAGGGGGTGAGTCTTCCGCATTGTCCTACAATGCTATTCACCGTTGCAAAGGTGTTCGAGCTGACCATACTTTCTTCTAGGTTTGGGTATCTCAAATTCTCTGATGTGGAAACTGCTCAGAAGGCAATCGCCTTGATGCACGGGCAGGTTTTCGAAGGTCGCCGGTTGGCTATTAATTTCGCCCAAGTGGACAACTTCGTGAGACCTACAAGTGCTCCTACACGAGCCCCTACTCGGACTCTATTCATCGGAAATATGTCATTTGAAATGACTGATCGCGACCTTAATGAACTTTTCAGAGACATAAATAACGTTATTGATGTCCGTGTCGCCGTTGACAGACGGACCGGGCAGGCAAGGGGTTTCGCCCATGCCGACTTTGTTGATATTGAAAGTGCCGAAATAGCTTTTGATATACTCAAACACAAATCGCCTTACGGGCGACAGCTGCGAATAGACTACAGCCACAGTAGCAACAGGATACGGAGTGCTGAGCCTGCCGAACCCCAACCCGAACACGAACCTGAACATATTTGAGTGGTCAAACCATAAATTCAGCGTAATAACACACCAGCCGGGTCAGGAGTATGTCAGGAGTAATGTTTCAATGCATAAGTGGCAGATCTTTTCCTTTTTTTTGTGAATTTGCCTGATTTTCTTTAAATCAGATGAGCAAGATGAGTATGCGACACATGGTCCGTTCGCTACGTGCCTCATGGCTTCGCTTGTTATCACTTACAGGTATCTTTTCTTTTGGGGATTTCTGTTTATCAACTCTAATAAGCATGTATATTATGGGTATCAAAATCTCTTTAAATTAAATATGTCCATGGGAACCAATGCAAATGCTTGTTGTCGCCTTAAATTTTTGGAGTTGATCATTTTCCATAGTCATAGAAATGGCATGATTTAAATTCATTGCTCTGCGCTCCATACATCTTATAAGGATATTATACTCCGCAGACAGTAGTGTCACTCCTTGAAGGTCCATCTATCTGCAATTCATGGAGTTGGACTGATTATAGTCTCCAACCGTCTTTAATAGAGAATTTGTCACTCCGTACAGAATACTCTGTACTGACAGGGTTTTGGCCTCTGGTAGAGAGAGATATCGCCACACTGAACTTTGATGCACCAGATAATCTTGCCCCTAGCGGTTATCCAGGGGCGCAGGATTATCCGGCTCCGCATCCGAGGTATTCACCTCCCCGGATAACTCAGTAATAGTAGTTTTCCTTTTATCTTTGATCATCCCCACACAGGTTTCGAAAATCGGTCACCACCTCCTGCTAAGTACTTGCACCTCGCTGTATCTTTCTGATATCTTCCTCGAGGTATCCTTCAAGTTGATCATGTCTTTTCTTGGGGGCGCAGAGTGCTCATCTGCTGGCAACCCGTTGACACAATTCGCAAAACATGTTCAAAATGACAAATCCCTTCAGCGAGATCGACTTGTTAGTCGAGGTACGAATGGTTTGCAAGATGGCATGCGGACCAGGGGCATTGTCGGTGGCCCAGATTATGTACGTATTAAGACCCGATGCAATAATTATGAGGAGGCTCACAGTGCGCCCTCGATCTTAGATGATGGATGAATTCATGCAACAAGCAGAATTAATGGCCCCGGCTGCGGCACAGCCGTTCACTATGGGCCAAATGCGCCGAGAACTGGAGAATCTTCACACTAGCCCCCAGCAACGGGCCGGATCTCCTGCTTGGGCCGCGGAGTTTGATCCAGGCGAAAGCGCGAGGATGGAGGCCGCCTTTCCAGGTGCAAAATTACAGATGATTAAAGGCGCCGGATTTTCGCCATCAGAGTTTACGCATTTTTCGCAGCAAATAGAGGCACAAAGGGCAGCTAGCTCAGTTACGACGGCTGTTCCAGTTACATCAGCTTATCAGTCACACACGGGGATAGGATACCGAGGGTTAGGTGGCGGCTACATGAATATGATGGGCCCGTCATACGGCCCGGTGGGTATGCAGCAGCAAGCGCCAATGCAAGAAGATAAAGGCAAGGGAAGAATGATAGAGCTTGATGATAAGAACTGGGAAGCTCAGTTTGCAGCGATAGACGCGGTGGGAGAGAAGGCCCTAGATGGAGAAGCAAATGCTGCCATGGAAGCTGAACTCGACAGCCTGGACAGGTCAGTCCCCAATGAAAGCGACGCATTTGATGATTTTGAAAGTATTTGGAGAGGTATCCAAACTGAGACCGCAGGACATAGGCAAATGGCTCATGAGGAACTAAACATGGAAAATATGCATATGGGTGACTTCGGCGAATGGGATAATTTCGACCTCGGTCTCAATACACACAGTTTCAGGGACCCACAACTTGGGGACTACCTCTTCGAGGAGGACAACAATTACCGACTTAACTCAAATCCATTCGAGGAAGGAATGCGAATGATGAGGGAAGGGGATAATCTTTCGCTGGCTGTCTTAGCATTTGAAGCCGCGGTGCAAAGGGACCCGAAGCATGTGAAATGCCTGGGGCGATGTTAGGCTCTGCTCAAGCACAAAACGAGAAGGAGAGCCCTGCTATACGCGCTTATGAACAAGCTCTAAAATTAGATCCAACTAATTTGGATGCTCTATGGGGCTTTCTGTCTCCTATACGAACGAAGGTTACGATTCTACAGCATATCGAACCTTGAACGATGGCTTTCGTGAAATACCTCAAATCATCGACCTCAGGAATAACACCGGACACTGAGATGGGATCCTGGTGGATTCTTGCTCCAAGAAAGTCACGGACCTCTTCATTCGAGCCGCGCAGCTATCCCCTCAAGGAGAGCATATGGATCCTGACGTCCAAGTCGGATTGGGTGTTCTGTTTTACGGCGCCGAGGAGTACGATAAAGCAGTCGATTGCTTTTCGGCAGCCCTGGCATCTAATGAATCGGGGACCTCGAACCAAGAAGAACAAGTCCATCTATTATGGAACCGTCTGGGAGCAACCCTCGCCAATTCTGGGAGGTCGGAGGAAGCCATTGAAGCTTATGAAAAGGCCCTTACTGTCCGCCCGAATTTTGTCCGTGCGAGGTATAATTTGGGAGTGTCTTGTATTAATATTGGATGCTATCCTGAGGCTGCACAACATCTGTTAGGTGCATTGGCAATGCATCAAGCGGTTGATCATTTGGAGTCACCCCCGTTCCCTGCAACCGCATCGGAAGATGCAGACTTGCACACAACACATAATCAAAGCACAAATCTATACGATACCTTGAGGCGGGTATTCAACCAGATGGGCCGAAGGGATTTAAGTGACATGGTTGTCAATGGTATGGATGTTGAGGTCTTTCGAAAAGAATTCACCTTCTAAGCCGATGGGCATTTATCAGAGCAGGGAGATTCCTTTTGTGGATATAATCAGAAGCAGTGGGATGTTTGCGATGGATTGATTTCCGAGTCCTCTCTGTTGGCCTAGAGCGCACATTTACATTTAAGCATAATATTCTATTTACAGGAGTCCATATTGTGGCCCAGTGATCTTGTTAAGAGCCTTGTGCTATTATCAACACCAACTTACAAACATCATAGAATGGGAACAAACCCAACTCTCCTACAAGCAAAAATAAATCAGTTAGTCAACATCTCTTTCACTATGAATGGGGTTCTTAGTGGACTGCTTTCTTCTTAGGTAAGGGAAGTGGAAGCTTCATGGGTTAGCTACTCAGTTTGTATTTAATCCTGGAGACATATTATGTATAGTTAAGTAACTAGAGGAGTGGTTAACTAGTTAACTAACTAACTTGTTAACAAGTTAACTAAGTTAGCTATCATTTCCGACTCACACCTCAGTTAACCTCGGCAAAGTTGTCAATATCAAGACAGCTTTTCCAGCAAGCACTCCAGTTGCTCTTTGTACAGGAGAATGTCATCAATTGTTAACAGTCTTAATCATCTATTTACCTGCTAACCTAATAACTAGACAGCATTCAAAACGTCAATGGGCGAGTCAACGGTGCGCAAATAGTGCTCG